TACTTCAGCACACTTTCAGCTATCAAAATGTTCAGCTCCTCAAGGACATTCATGCTTTTCTTCAGAAGTTTTCTGAACTTCATATTTTGAAATATTCAGCTTTATTTTGAAACTTTTGTACCATTCAAATGAATGGGGAAATCTAACTTCAGCATACTTTCAGCTATTTCAGGTATCAAAATGTTGAACTCTTCAAGGACATTCATGCTTCTATTCAGATGTTTTGTAAGCTTCATACTTTTGAAATATTTTGCTTTATTTTGAAAATCTTGCCCCATTCAAGTGACTGGGAAAATTCTACTTCAGCATACTTTTGGCTAGCAAAACCATTCAGGTGTCAAAATGTTCAGCATTTTCAGGGCAATCTTTCAGTACTCAGCATCCATACGCATTTTCTTCAGAAAATGCATTTCTCTAGTTATTATTATTAGTAGTAGTATTCTGGGATCTTCCACCCTTTTTTTGGCACTTTATAAGTCCAGCATACTTTCAGCTATACAGGCCATTGAGGTCTTTATCTGTTCAACACTTCAAGGACAGCCCTGCTTGTACTCAACTTTTTTGGGAGCTCAAAGTGCTGAGTCAATGACACAGTCTTGGAGTGCCATGTGGTGGTCCATAAAATGCAGCGCAATTGGGACATGCCCCTACTTAATTCCTCTCTCTCCCTCTCTCTCTGTCCCCCCCCCAACACACACACACACACACACTCACACCTACTTGTTTTACCTACTTTGTGGGGTCCTATTGGACTATTTTCACATCTAAATAAGTTCAACATACCTTCAGCTAGAAAAGCCATTCAGGTTATCAAAATGTTTAGCTCTTCAAGGCCATTCCTATTTTATTGCATCTCATCCTTCAAATTATTCAACAAAGTACTTCAGCCTTTTCTTCTCATCTTTCAGCTGTTTCAGCAATTGATTTCAGGCATTTTCAGGTTGATCTTTCAATAAAATGCAGTGCAATTGGGACTAGAGTTGTTTTTGGTGGCCTGTTTTAATTTTAGTTTTAATCTAGTCTTTGTGTGAAGCTGTCATTTTAGTTTTTATTAGTTTTAGTCACGTTCATACTCTTTTTAGTCTAGTCTAGTTTTAGTCAATGAAAATTGTATTTTAGCCTCTTTTTAGTAATGCAATTCTATTTAACCCAGTCAATATAGTATAAGTACCTAGCAGTATAGACGAAATGAAAATTTTCTTTTAGCCAAACCCATTTCAAACAAGGTTATCTTATTATATTATTGTTACGTTATAGACTCAAGAATACATCCAACACACATTTTGTGGCCACATTTCTCCCCATCTTTTCCCACAACACATTGTTTTCTTTTTCACTTCTATGTAATGAAATTTTTTCCAAATATCGTTTCTTCTTTTTCTCCAAATGACGAACTCCGGCTGGCCGGCCATTGGTCCCTTTCTTTGTGTCAGACTTAACTTTGTTTGTTGTCGTCTTCTAAATAATGCCGCGAGTGGGACTTAAGGAAGTGATGTCACCTGCGTCTGCAGGTGTATATTACATTAAATGTATATTACATTATACATTTAGTTATAGTCATCGTCACATTTTCGTTGCGTCTTGTCTCGTTTTCGTCACGCGATAAAGGTTCGTTGATGATGATATTTAGTCATAATTTTTGTTGACGAAAGCAACACTAATTGGGACATGCCCCCCTTCAGCTAGAAGAGCCATTCAAGTATCAAAATGTTCAGCTCTTCAATGCCGTTCCTACTTTATTGCATCTCATCCTTCAGATTATTCAAAAAAGAACTTCAGCCATTTCTTCTCAACTATTTCAACAAAGAACTTCAGCCATTTCTTGTCATCTTTCAGCTGTTTCAGCAATTGATTTCAGGCATTTACAGGACGATCTTTTAGCATATTAGCATCCACACGCATTTACAACAGGAAATGCATTTCTCTAGTTTCCACTTAATTTTTGAAATTCAGTTGCCTTCCATTCCAAGCTATTTCATGCAAGCCAGAACTGAACAGGAATTGCCCCCTTTCTATTATCTTTGTGTGGAGTTTAAAGAAACAGTCCTAGTCCCATTCCTCCCACCTCTCTCTCATAATTTCTCTTGCAAAACAAGAATTTTCTAACATTCTCAACTCTAGGAGCCTTCTGTGCATGTTGAGCTTCTCCCCAAGGTAAAACTGGCCTACTTCTGAGTGCATCCTCAGCATCCATCTGCCAAACACATAAATTGCATTTGCAAGTTATCTCATCTGTCAGAGCAGGCCTATCAATTTCACTGAGCAGTCTCGACAGAAGGCATTAACCCTCAAGCATCATTCTGGCATCAACCATTGACAGAAAATAACTGCTAGTGGTATCAGCATAGAGAGCACTGTTGGCAGCTGTGCTGAGACTGTTAGTGAAGAGAAACGAAAGACCTGAATAACAATGAATACCAATTGGAATTATAACTGTTCATGTTGTTCTCTGGATAGAATATCACAATTACAGTTTTAAGAGACAATAAACCACATTGGAAGGCAAACAAACTAAAATAGAAACTATTGTCTAAACTTTTATTAGACTTCCAGCCAACATCCAAAAAGCCTAAAGCACTGCAATAAATATTTTTATATAAATAATATGAAGTACCAAATGACAATGTGAAAATCATGTGACAAAATTCACATTACAGTTTAAATACTGCAATTCAGTGATTTGGTATTGGACGTGTGTAAAACTGGGGGACTTAGATGTGGAAAACACAAGTCGAAGCCTGAGATCTTTACTTTTATACCATCAGTATAGAAAGTTTGACCTGCAGGTTTTCCACATTGTCATGTTTCAGTCTCATCCTTAATTAAATGGATTTCTTTTTGCCCTGTCTACATGCAATGCTTCAGAATGACAAAGTGAAAACAGACAGAGGGTTTTGTTAATTTACTAAGACATATCCCATTTACATAAGTATTCTGACCTTTTTATGACACTTGTAAATGATCTCTGGAGGGTCCTACACTCCAATCAACAGTCATTAAGATGCTTCTACAGCTTGATTAGAATAAACCTGTGCTTAATTTAATATACTGGATACAATTAGGAATGGTACACACCTGTTTACACCTGTCTCACAGTTGATGGTGTATGTCAGAATGAGAACAAAACAATAAGGTTCAGAGAACTGTCCACAGACTGGTGAGACAGGATTGTCCACAGAAACAGATATTGTGCAGAATACATGAAAATTTCTGCAACACTGAAAGAACAAAGTAGCCTTTATTCTCAAATGGAAGAGAATCAGAGAGCAAAAAAGCAAACTCAGTTCAGAGTTTTTGGACTTACTATTATAGCACTCTACTGGATATATTTCAAACTCCACACTCCTTTTGTCAAGGCAAGCTTCGTGCTGAAAATGGTCTTGAAGCACAATCTGAAATAAACCTGATGACATAATCACGACCCTGATGACATCACTAGAGCTTTTTGTCCAGCTTTAATCTCCTCCAGAGTCACAGAAGATACTGATAAAGTAACTTCTTCCCCACCTGAAGAACAGTGCTAAAAGACCTCTGAACCTCATGTGGAAATATGTTATGACTAAATCTTCAGTTTAAAAAGCCTTGAATATTTATTTTTATTCAGGTTTCCATGGGGTCTTCGTGAAGACATTTCATTCATTCAAAGTTAGAGTAGTTTTGGTTGGTTCACATGGGAGGTTTCTGTATTTATGTCTCCCTCTGCTCTTCTCACTGGTTCGAAGTGGGTGGGTTTCTGTTAGAAAATGTGATGTAGCCTCCCAATCCGGATTCAGCAAGCAAGTCTTGACGAAACAGATTAGCTGAGGCTTTGACTGTTAAAAGCTTATGAAATACCTACTGTTTAATTAAGGAAATACATTTCCAGGAATAGCAGATTTTTTTTTTATTATTAAAATTAAAGTCTGTTATTCTTCTGCGAGAAGATCTATTTTTGGTCTATCCAGAGATAATGAGCTCGGGGGAAATAAATGTCAGTGACCAAGCCAATAAAACACTGTTAAATCTCTTAAGTAAACCACGGAGCTTTGTTGAGGGGTGCCTCGACACTCAAATCGTCCCCAATGTGATTTTTAGCAGCCTAACAACCACTGAGATGTCGATCGAAGCCCCATCGTTGGAGTGAAGCGTCGCCTCCAACTGCAGCCTTAGCCTTGCGCTTTCCACGGTGCTGAACGGTCCTCACTGACGAGCGCACTCGGATTTCTTGTTGGGATCCCGACAGTGCTATGCTACCACTTGTAATACAAGAGGGTGGTGATTCCAGTGTGTGCTGGCATTACACTGCTGCCCACAGTGATTCATGGCGGCCATCAATGTCTTAACCAGACACATAGAAACCAATACTTTCTCAGGACATGAATGACTGCTAGTCTAATAAAAATTATCAGCACACGGGGGACATATGAAAAGCCTCTATGTAAAACACGCCCACACACAACGGTCCGTTGTGCAACTTAAAAGGGGTTTAGAGTAGACTGATCTCTCCTTCCCGTCCTTTATCTCTCTCTCTCTCTCACACACACACACACACTGGCAGACCTACAAAACGCGTGCTTTTTTATACACACTCAGGATTAGTATGCGTCCGCGCACAGCTATCCTGCCTTTCAGTTTTCTTGATTTCAGTGCAACCTTTCCCCACACATCATACTTAATTTCAAAAAAATGAATAAATGAAAACAACAAACGCAAGTAGGTAGCTCCACTGCTCTGAACAGATTTCCATCTTCTTTCTCTAAACATATGTAATTGGCTAAGAGTGTGAACCTTCTTCCAGCCCCAAAACACACTGCCCTAAGTAATACAGAGCTTGTGAGACGTTGGTGGTAACCGCAAACGGTATTTAGCATGTTATTCAAATCGGCGCACTAGTTTGCTGCAAAACGATTTGAAAATGAGCTGTAACCACATCACACAGGCTACTGATGTAAAAGCAAAATAGACTCCTCACTGTAAATCGACACTGAAGAGTGCATCACACAGTTGAGGTTATTTCTTACCTTCAGAGATGGACGAGTATTCAGTGTGTGCTACCGCAGGCTCTGTCTCCGTTTCCCTGGTTCCAGGCTATAGCCGCTCCCTTCCCCTTCACCCACTAATTCCAGGAGATAAACTGCAAAACCAGTTGTCTACCCAGACACATATCGCTTCTTCTCTCGCGTTCCTCTGTCTCCTTGACAAATTTCCCCTGTGCTCTGGAAACCTGCGCTTTTGACGCGACGATTATCTTCACAGCATATTTTGTAGTTTTCCTTTCAAGCAAAAATAACAGGGTCACTGGTGTGTGGGCTCATATTTCAAGGCGGGTTTTTAGAGAGTGGTGCTACATCGAACTGGCATTTTCTCCCTGCGGTACCCCGATACTTGTCAGTGAAAACACTATGTCGTTGTGTTTTCCCCCTAAGCGCTCCAACATGAAAGTAAAAAAAAGAGGAAAACTGTACAACCAAAATAAACTTTGTTTTCTCCCAGTAATTCGAGTTATTTGATTGTCCAAAAGAGAGCAAGCAGATGTAAAGCTGCGAGGTGAATGCGCTAGCGGCAGATTAAGCCTAGACGGCACAAATACCATGAAGTCTCACAAAGCCCACCGGGAGAAGGCAGGTCAGTCAGAACTATAGCGCCTTTACGCAAACAGACTGGGGCGAGTTGGTACCAATGATTATGCTTGAAGAGCCACTTAGACATGGTCCGCAGCGATTACCATGTTGTCTGCGGGAGATTAATGACCGACCACGGATTAGTCCGTGCTCACAGAAACAGAGTAGCCTGTCAGGCTACTTTGGTCTTATATCGTCTGTCAAAATCGCACTCTTGTGCGTTGTTTCCCCGCTGCAGGAAGCTATAGAAGCTTTGTTCAGTCTCCAAACTGCTGGTTGCATTCTGTCCGACCTTCAAAAATCAGACGGATTCCCTTTTCTTGTTGGAACATTTCACAGTAAGGGGCATTCAACCTCGATAAGGAATAAATCAGGAATTAACGAAACAAGTGGGTACTCAACTGAACTGTATGCTAGGATGTGACTTTAGAACAGATGGTCACATCAGTGTTTCGTGGTGGTGGAAAGTAACCCCCCCCTTTTCGGCTATATAATAGGTGCCTTTCAGTCAAACTTTACACACCATTGAAAGAGATTCGTTTGTAAAAATGATAGTGTCAACTGCCTAACAGTAATAGAATATACAGGGACAACTCTGCATAATGAGTAGCCTTCTTTTACTTTAAATTCTTATGTTAAATGATTCGTTTCTCCAACATGTTTTACTTATGAGCCATTAAAACAATGTCTATTGACCTACTGTGCAGGTGGCTTCCTTTTGGATGAAAAAGCCCCCCCAAATTATCCTATAGTCAGAGTAAAATTAGCCAGTGTTTCAAAAGAAATATGCCAACATTAGGGTAAAATGTTTATAATTATTTTTGGTAACAGATCTTTGAATTCTGCTTCACCATTTAAAAAAAAAGTTGATTGAGGATACGTATTACCAAACTGATACAAAACATCAAAATTACTTCTCTTTGAAAAAAAAAATGAAGCACAGAATCAGAATCAGCTTTATTGGACACATGAGTAATTTGACTCTGGTACAGGGGTTCTCAATATGTATGTACATATCCTTATGCAAGGCATAATAATAGTAAATAATAATAATAATAGCAAAGGGCAAATAAACAATATAAGGCTGAGAGAACAGAAAGTAAGGAAGTAATTTGCAAACAAACAACATAATGTGCATTAGGAAATTAGGTAAAAATAGAGCACTTAAAAATAGACCTGCATATATATGTACAGTCTAGATGTAGAATTAAGCAAACCATAATCAACTGCATTCTTCAGTTAAGCTGAGTGAAATAACATCTCATCATAATTGTCAAAGTTACCGTCAGGTTCATTTTGAGGGAAATTACTCATGCTTGCTCTTTTTGTTTGTGTCTTGATATTTAGTAGATGTGATGACAAATAAGCACCAGCATAATAGGCAAACATTTTGAACAGTCTTAGTAAGAAAAGCAAAGTGTTATGGTTAACTTATGAGGACCCAATTGCAGAAGCAAGACAAAAACTGGGTGAAAGGAAACTAGGATAAAGTTAAGCACAGGAGAAGGTACAGTAAATGAATGAAACACAAGACTACAAAGGTAAGAAGAAAAATTATGGCCTAACCAAAACAACTAATGCAAACTGAGACCAGGCAGGTATTGCACAAAAGTAGAATTAATAAATCCAAGATAAGACAAAGTGGGGCTTGACCTACTTTGCTAAGTGCATCCTGGGTTAATGCGTTTCACGATGATGTAACCTAGGTTATTTTGGTGGTATGTGTATATATCTATATATACACATACACATATATATATTTTTTTTATCCTGTCCTGTTTTATTAGTTCTCTCCAGTGGGCTTAACGTTGGTTGCCAAGCATTGTTTTCCCATGCCCCGTGAATGCACCATGGTGTAGATGGCAGCATCCTTCGATTTCCGGTGGAAGGAAAAAAAAAAGGAAAAAAAGGGAAGAAAAAACTTTCTTCTCCACTCTTCAGGGTTGGAGGAAAGAAGCATCTTGAAGAAACGCTGTTTTTTGAGCTCCAAAATACTAGTTGAGGTGTTGTTCCTGAGCACCAAAAGTGTTATGTTAAGTCCGATGATGTGAGTGTGAACTCATTGAAGAATATCCTGGCTGTTTTTTTTTTTTTTTGGTAGAGTCTACTCCTAGAGGAGCTGAGTGGCGCCATCCATGGACTGCATGCCACCTAAGAGGCCTGCGGAGGATACTCCAGATTCCAACGATCACCTGTTTCCAGGAGGGTGGTAGGATCACAGAGGATTTACGTTTTTTTCTATTGAGATCTCAATATTTTATTTGTTACTTTTGAATTAATTTTTTTGGGTCGAACCTGATACCATACAACTGACGCGTCAAATTGGAAAGAAGTGACTGAACTGCACCTTATTGGGATAATCTGTTTTTGGAATATTGTTCTTGTTCAGGCCCAGGTCTGTTTGGGAAGTGTAAGAGTCTTGTTGTTGAATGATACTGGTTAAGTTTTTTTCCTGAAATACATTTATTTTTGTTATAAGTACGTGAGTGTGTGCCTTATTGGGGATGGAGGTTTCTTCTCCTCACTCTGTGTAGAGTGCCATCACCAAGCTCCTTGTGAACCCAAGATAACTGTACCCTATTGTGTAGATATAGACCTTCGGTTGGTTTTCATTCATCAGATTAGATATTTAGAGAGCATTTGACAGCTAAATTTAGAAGGGTGACAGCAGAGAGAGAGGGACTTACATACATTAGCGAGTAGTGAGTCCTCATTTGTTACAATGACTACACCAGGTTGAGGAGGTATGGCGAGGTCAAGACAGGTCTAAGTAATTTGGAGGAATGTTCACAGATTTCTTCAACAGATCACAAGGTCGATCACAGATTCACTGATGCTGACACAGAAACTGTGTTCCATTTGGCCGTGCTGACACAGTATGTTAAATAGTGTTGTTAAAGTGAATGGAGACCATGCCTGACCAGGAGAAACAACACCATGCTGGTGGAGTTTTTGAGCACACACATCAAAGATCCCGTTTCTTTCTAAAATTCTGGAAAAAGCTGTTGCTAAGCAGTTATGTGACCACTTGCACATGAATGATTTGTTTGAGGATTTTCAGTCAGGTTTAAGAGTCCATCATAGTACAGAAACTGCATTGGTGAAAATCACCAATGATCTTCTCCTAGCCTCAGTCAGAGTATTGAAGATGGGTCATGGCTGGGTGTTCCAACATGACAACGACAGCCAGGATAACCAAGGAGTGGCTTCGTAAGAAGCATATCAAGGTTCTGAAGTGGCCTAGCCAGTCTCCAGACCTCAATCCAATAGAACATCTTTGGATGGGAGAAACCTGACAGATCTAGAGGAGATCTGTGTGGAGGAGTGGGCCAAAATCCCTGTTGCAGTGTGTGCAAACCTGGTCAAGAACTACAGGAAATGTTTGACCTCTGTAATTGCAAACAAAGGTTTCTGTACCAAATATTAACACTGATTTTTTAAATTCTGTCTCTCAGAGTGGGAATGCACCTACAATGTGAATTTCAGACCCCTCCATGATTTCACAGCCATTCGTGTGGGTCCTGGTACCATCCATATTTTGCTAGCAGCTGAACCAGGGGCTTCACCCATCAGAGATGAAAACCATTCAATCTGGCCATTTTTGGATGTGGTTGGCTGTGGGGCTCCTCCAGCACTGGGATCTGTAGTTTCTTCTGCTGCATGCTCTGAGTCCTCATCATCGTCAAATTCACTCTCATATTCAAAGGTTTCTTCAGTATTGTCCTCATATTCAGAGACATCCTCTTCTTCACTATCTGTCACGCTCTGCTAAAAATATAGTAGCTCTAAGGCCTTCTGAGCAGTGTACCTTTTGCTCATGGTGCTGGACAATTGAAGATAAAATGACACACTGCAATCAAGAGCTATTTATATGTAAATATAATGTATAGTCCGCATAGGTTCAGGTCAACAGCTTTTTTTCTTTTGTCAGTTTTCTTTTAGTAAAAATCTTTAAAAGGGTCAATTTGACCTGGACACAACACAAGGGTTAAGATATGATGTAACCTTATCATTAAGGGCTTTGTATGTTAGTAGAAGGATTTTAAAGTTTATTCTAGATTTTACAGGGAGCCAGTGGAGAGAATCCAATATGGGAGAAATATGATCTCTCTTGCTATTTCCTGTCAGTACTTTGGCTGCAGCATTTTGGATTAACTGGAGACTTTTTGGGGAATTATTGGGACATCCTGATAGTAAAGAGTTACAGTAGTCCAGCCTGGAAGTAACAAATGCATGGACCAGTTTTTCAGCATCACTTTGAGACAGGATGCTCCTGATTTTTGCAATATTGCGCAGGTGAAAGAAGGCAGATCTAGAGACTTGGTTTATGTGTGATTTAAAGGACATATTCTGATCAAAGATGACTCCAAGGTTCCTCACAGTAGTACTGGAGGCAAGAGCTACAGTGCCTTGCGAAAGTATTCGGCCCCCTGGAACGGGTTTTTACACCCGAGCACAATGACCTCAGTTTTGTCAGAGTTTGGATGTAAGAAGTTACAGGTCATCCAGGCCTTTATGTCTTTAAGACATACTTGAAGTTTGACCAGCTGATCTGATTCATTTGGCTTCATAGACAAATATAATACCATGGGCAAGACCAAAGAGCTGTTAAAAGACACCAGAGACAAAATTGTGGACCTCCACAAGGCTGGAAAGGGCTACGGGGCAATTGCCAAGCAGCTTGGTGAAAATAGATCAACTGTTGGAGCAATTGTTAGAAAATGGAAGAGGCTAAAGACGACTGTCAGTCTCCCTCGGACTGGGGCGCCATGCAAGATCTCACCTTGTGGGGTATCACTGATGATAAGCAAGGTGAGGAATCAGCCCAGAACTACAAGGGAGGAGCTGGTCAATGACATGAAGAGACCTGGGACCACAGTTTCAATGGTCACTGTCGGTAGAACACTACGCCGTCATGGTTTCAAATCATGCATTGCACGGAAGGTTCCCCTGCTCAAGTCATCACATGTCCAGGCCCGTCTGAAGTTTGCCAAAGACCATTTGGATGATCCAGAGGAGGCATGGGAGAAAGTCATGTGGCCAGATGAAACCAAAGTAGACCTTTTTGGTCTAAACTTCACTCGTCGTGTTTGGAGGAAAAAGAAGGATGAGTTGCATTCCAAGAACACCATCCCTACTGTGAAGCATGGGGGTGGTAACATCATGCTTTGGGGGTGCTTTTCTGCGAAGGGGACAGGACGTCTGCACTGTATTAAGGAGAGGATGAATGGGGCCATTTATTGTGAGA